CCAGCTAAAGGAATCGGTCTCTGCCGTGCGAACATCAGTACATGAAAACAGGGGAATCGATGGTCATGATGCGTTCCTCCTCCTCTACCGCCGCCCGGAGCCACTTGGGGACCCCGAAAAGTCCGCCGTGGGTGACTCCGTCGTAGAACCGCAGGGTCCCTGTAATCCTTGCCTCGATGTCCGAGTCCGTCGCAGCCACCTCCTTCCGGCGGTACTCCTGGAAAAACACGCAACAAATTCATCAGTTGTTGTTGTTGTTGTTGTATGCTTTCAAAGAACTCTGGGAAACCATACAACAAATGCGCTGCATCTGTTGGTTGCACTCACAGCACTCCTGGGAAACCACCAACAAAGTTCATCAGATGTCGGCATCTGTTGTTCTTGCTTGCGCGCAGAGAACTCCAGCGAAACCATAGAACAAGTTCAACAGATGTTGCAAGTGGGAATGTTGTTTAGGCTTGCAAATCATGATTAACCCTCCCCCCCAATAAGCCTACCTCTGTATTGAACGTGCTCGAGTCCGAGGCAAGGTTGAAGCCCCAGCAGCAGCCAAACGACGGCACGTCGGCAACCGACATGGACACGTGCTGGAAGACGGACTTGAGTGTCTTGTGGATGACGGTGAAGCACTCGTCCTTCAGGTGCACCGCGGCAGCACCGGACTGGGTGACCAGCACCCCCCCTGGAGAAAGCCTCGTCGTTGCGAACTTGTAGAACTCCTGCGTTTTTTTTGTTGTATTTTTCGCACCAAGAAGGTTGGTTTAAAATTTCGGTTTGATTTTCGCGCCAAGTTTTCCGATGTTTTGTGGGGTGGGGAGGGGGGGTGCCGTTGTGTTTGGACCCAAATTTTATTTCAACTTAAAGAACATGGGGTGCAAATGACGGGGGCACGTCAACAAACAGCACAAAACACACACAAAATAACGGACGTATGCATACATACGGGAGAAACGCAGAAGGCATCAAAACACCTCCTTCCTTCCCACCCACCGGCCTACCCTTGCCATTGTCCACCCAACTCGTAATTGAATACTATTAATATTATACATGTACGCGACGGTTATTTTTATTTCTTATACGAGGGAAAAAAACAGAGAGCAGAACACAATCGTCATCTCACATCAAATCAATGAAGTGGTACATACACAAACCATACCTAACTTAGCATTATACTAACTTAGCATTAACGTTTTACCACCAATCAGTCTCGCCTGCGTGTATAGGATGTACCCCGGGCCAGCTTCGATAGGGTCGGCGATGTCCATGATGATGACGTCATACATGTCCTCGCTCTCGCGGAGGAAGGCGTGTGCGTCGGTATAGTGGAGCTCCAGACGTGGGTCGTCGAGCACCCCCGCCCCCCACTCCGGCAACACATCCCTCGAGGTATCCACCACCAACTATGCACGCGTGAAACGGTAGAAAAAAGGAAAATTGGGGGGGGGGGGGGGCAGTGGGTCCATGCTAGGGTCAGTGAGGGATGCCCTGGGTTCCAAGTGTCTGTTTTCTCCAAGCGCCCGTACTACGAAGCACCGCCAGTTAGGTAAATTCGCGCGTAGCAGGTGTGTGAAACCATATGAGTGTGGGGGTGGGGAAGGGAAGCTAACCTGTACCAGCCAATCACAGGAAGGAGGGTATCCCTCCGCTGCGATTGAGGGAAGGGGGGGATAGGGGATGCTTACGAGCTACAAAACAAGGCCGGGACATCACATCAACCAAACGATGCGAACAAGGTGTAGACGATAACATGGACGTGCGCATCATTCAAAGCGCTGATTTGTTGTACACAAACGGCCTCCGGGCAGCACGGACGTCATCGCTCGTCCGCTCAGTTGAAACAAGCACCGAAGATAAAGTCTGCAGCTGCGCAGCAGCAGTGGCAGTGGCAACAAGTCTCATTGTTCTCTTTTTGTTCATATGAATACTTGTTTCATTCTTCAACTCGTTCAACTCGATTGCGGTGCCGGGGCGGATCGAGCTACGTACGTGCAAACTATACGGAAAGAGCAACGACCTCGACTTCAGAGGATGCTTGCTCATGAGAGCAGGCTAAGGGGCGCATGGCCAGGGATGTGGACAGAAAGACAACACACACAAGAGCGACCTAGACAGGAGAGACAGAAAGAGAAGGCGACGGGTGGGTGTGCACCAACCTTGTCCAAGTCGACCATAACGCACTTCTCCACCGACTTGTGCCGCAACACTTCTCGCGCCGTGGCCAGCTCTCCTCCCCCCCCGATGTAAACCTGCGGCATCCCACGGTATCCCACGGTTAGGGCAACCGAGCACGAACATGACACGGGTAATCTACACCAAACGTGCCGAGCATCTCGCGTGGGTGGAAACAGTGGGTGGGACAACCGCCATGTGTTTGGGCATACTCCAAAAAACACAAGACCGTATCTCTCCGCCCCCCGCCCCCGCCCCCCCGCGATGTTCCACCGACTAATGGACCGACCAATGGAAACGGAAGAGTGTCTCTCGCACCGTGGCGGCTGGATTGGCGCCTGCTCCGGCCGTCACCCCGCTAAAAGACGTGCACTCAACACTCCCACCACTGCCACAGCTGTAGCGCACTCCATGTGAACCGCACATGAACATAACTCCGCGTGCCTGCCTGCGGCTTTCGCTCAGAAGCAAAAAATCATCACCAACCGCCCAGCTCAGACATCCCTTTACAACCCGGCGCTTGCAGTGATTAGTGATTCCCACGCTGCTTCCTTGCTTCTCTAGCTGAAGAGCTCGGATCCTCAAAGCATGTTAACAAAAAGCGTTTGTAGATAGCGCGAGGTGGGCGATACTGTAGTGATAACGTGATAACAGATCCGGAGACTTCACCCGCTTTGGGTTGGGATGCGCCAGCATGGCCGGGTGCACCAGCGTCTCATGGTAGATGAACTCGTCCAGCTGCGCGGACTGCGTCTTCCCGTCGAGGACCAGAGTCTTCCCGAAAGGCGCCGTTTCAACCACCTGCAACAGCAGCACACACCAGGGGGGGAACAGACAAAGGATGGATATAATCTATCCTTTGACACGTTTAACCACCTGCAAAAGCAGCACACACCCAGAGGGAACAGATGGACAATCAATCCTTTCAGAACGCTGTGGTAGAAAGGCGACCTCATCTTCAGATGACCGCTGTCCCTAGTCCCCCTTGTGCTGGTGCCCCCCCTCCCGCCCTCTCCGCTGTCCTTAGTCTCCCTTCAGCTGGTGCGCCCCCTCCCGCCCATTTCCTCGACCTCGAAGATCGAAAGACCTCTTGGAGTCGAGCTTGGATATTTCCCCCCGGCATGAGCGACGTGTTTTGATTGGCTGACGGGTACAGCGCGGTTGATGGATGCCAACTAAAGAAACAAGCACCACCAAAAAACACACCTGTACATGCTGAAAGTCGGACGAGGCGTTGAACATGATCTTGTTGAGCCTCGACCTCAGCTCCAGATCCTCGGAAACATCTTCGTGGAACCTTCCACGAAATTTGCGACAGATTCAGGTCACCCTCACATGTAGCCTTGTCAGCGCCATCTTGCTACTTTCGCTGCACACGGGTTCACTTTCTCCAAGTGAAAACGACTTCTATCAAGAGGATCTCATTTTTGCTCGTTTTTCCCTGTGCAGATGACACAGCCACTGACGTATGATATATTGAAGTACGACGTATACTGCTGTGTGATACTTTATACTCGGCCAGACGGCGAAAGGGCCGGGGAGGGGGTCAGGGTACGGTGCGAAAATAAATACACACACAGAAAGACTACCCGTTCGAGATATACCCACAGCAGTCGAACGGGATGTGCTATTAATAGAGTATTTTCAGTGAGTTGAGGAAAACCGGCTGGGGTCTAGACTTATTTCGAGTCTATTTAAGTCTATACACTGATTATTTATATCAGTGATACCAGGTGATGCTAGATAAGCACAAAAACATCTGATATACGTCGAAGCACGATATGTAATTGTTTTGTATTTTCAAAAACTGGAGCGCGGCAGTGCACAGCGGTTTGTCCGTTTGCGGCGCGGAACCAGGTTCGACAAAGGGCGTTGTTGCCGTTGGACAAATGACCACATACCCTAATGCAACACGGAGCGTGACCTGAGCAGTGGTGATGCGAGACAAAAAACATGCTCTTACATACCATACTGCATTCAGAATGTAGGGCCAGTCCCGTCCCATTAATGTATGGTTGGTGTGCAGAGCAGGTATTTCTGTGGGTGCCAGTTCGATAGTTGCGCCCCAACTACTGCTTTACAACAGCAACTACTGCTTTACAGTAGTATCAATAGTTGCGTCACAACTACTGCTGTACAGCAGTACAGCAGCAAGTCATAAAGAAGGTGTCATCTTTGCATTGTTTTGTTTTATGGATATCGCCACAATACATTAGCCGCGAGATGTGAATGCCACCTCAGACTGTAGTAGATGGTGACGTCAGATGACCTGTCGGAGATCTACCTTCGGGGTGTTGCCACAGATAGAGTCAGTGTCGAGTGGATGCTGAACCTTGCTTCAACACAAGGTCGCTCCCCCCTGGTTCACAACACAACTATCCGTACTCGTCAGCCTCTTCACCAGAGGTTGAACCGGTGTGTATCCACACCACACATCCCAACGGGAACTTGCTCACACGCGAACCTGGAGACAACAGTCTCATAGTGGCGTCAGCGGCGTTACGTGTGTTGGTTGAGTTCCTGGCGCGGTGGTGGCATTACTTTGCCATCATCATGGCGAAAAAGAAAAAGAAAATAGTCGAAGAGGTCACCCATCCGGAGGAGTGGCAAGACGGGGAGCAGCTGGTTGATTACGAGCCGGCGTCGCCCGCCGGCCCGTCGTCGCCGTCTCCGTCGTCGTCGTCGTCCCCGTCGTCGGACGACGGGGGGCACCGGTCCGACCAATCATCGGGAGATGATGATGGGTTGGACCAGCTGTCGTCCTTCGAGTTGCTTGAAGCAACTTGTAAGGCGGAGGTAAAAAATTATCTCCGCGCGTTGAAGCAGAGGCGGACGCCGCCGGAGCTTTCGCCAGCGACCATCGCTTGGCAACAGCGTCTCCTGACGGAGTCGATGGGAAGCTCATCGTCGGTCGCCTCCGCGTCGTCGTCGTCGTCGTCGTCTCGTGGAGCCTCGTCTCGTGGCGCGGATACATCTGCGCGTTCCGTGGTAAGTTCAAGCGTTCCGTTTTTGGCTCCGTCGTTGCCCGGGCCGACACCGTTGTCCCCCGGAGCACCATCGTTCGTTCCGTCCGCACAGACAACGAGTGGATCAAATCCCTTGTCGAGTCCGTCGCTCACTGTGCCCGTCAACGCGTCTACTTCGGTGTCGTGTACGTCTGGTAGTGCAACCCTCGAAAGTTCAACATCACAGGTTGCACCTGCTAGTGCGCAATCGTCCGTCGTAGCGTCACCTGTTACTTCAACAACACAGGTTGCACCTACGAATGCGCAATCGTCCGTCGTAGCACCGTCTGTTACTTCAACGTCGCAGGTGGCGCCTACTGCTGTAGCAACCGAACCCCCCGTTCGTACGTTTCTACAAGCAGCTACCGTTTCCATATCCGCGGCTGATCTCCGCAGCGTTCCTAAACTCACAGGAGACCGCACCGAAAATGTCATCGAAATTTTGAACCATTTTCGTACGGTGGTTGGGTTGAAAGCCGCAGCCATCAACCCGGATTCGTCGTTTGCCGATGGAGTAGCCCTCAAACACGTTGCCCTTGTGGGAACGGGAGAGGTGTTGACTCTGATTCAGCAGATATTGTCTGGACAGATTGACTGTTCTAAGGCAAGTACGTTCACGGAGCCGGAGGAAAAAGGGTCGTTTCCCTCTCCGACCACGTGGGATGCCATGTGTTCCGTGTTGCTTGATTCCCTCCTTCCCGCAAATTCCGTTGAAGAAGAGGCACACAATCTTGCAACGTTCGTCCAAGGGCCGCAGGAATCTGTTTCCTCGTATGCTCTTCGTTTCCGTACTGTCATGGCACGGTTCCAAGCTGCCGTCGGTCGCGAGGGTAGTCGTACCGCTTGGAACTGCATGACAGTGGCTCTGTGGCAAAATGGGTTGACGCCAGAAGTTCGTAAACTTCAACGGGGGTACACTCCCGTAAAGTCGCTCAAAGAAGCCATAGACCGAGCGCGTCGTCTGGAGGAGTCGGAACCCGTTTTAACTGTTTCGGCAACTCACTCCGTACCGTCTGCCACCGCTCGCCCCACGGCTGTGTTTCAGGCGCGGCCTACTCAAACGGTGACTTTTAAGAAGTCACCTGGCCCGCGTCCCCCGTCAACAGCTCGCCGTGGAACGCCCGCCGCTCGTGGTCGAGGTTCGGGTGGGGGAGGAGGTCAGCGTCGTCCGTCCTTCGACCCCTGCACCCACCCCACCTGCCGGTCCCACAAGACCCACCCTATCGAGCGTTGCTGGGTGCGGCTTGCGGAGGAGGAGGATCGTCAAGGCCGTTCTGCGCCCAAGCGGTCGAAGAAGAACCGTCGTCCCAAGAAGAAGGACGATTCGTCGGACTCCGAATAGGGGTGCCCAGGTGTTGTGCCCGCAATACTTGGGAAGGAATCTGCTGTTGCCGTCGCAAATAGCAGTAAGGGCGTGAAAAGATCTTTTGATCGTTTTGCGTCGCTTGCGCGTTCGTCCATATCGTCTAGTACTCGGAGTGATAGATCGTGTTTGAAGAGTACCAAACGACTTGTAAATAAGGCACATGCGTCCCCTGTCGTAGAACAATCACATAGAAGGCTAGAGCGTTCAATTATCGCAGCCGATTTAGACGCGGTTGATAGAGCGTCCCTTGAGGCATCGCGTTTTCGTAAAAATGCCAATAAAACAAGGGCCGACACGATTGTTGCCGTACCGAAGAATGTATCGGAGCGTAAAAAGAGGAAGAGGAATTCTGGAGGAATTAAAAAACGTGTTTCGTGGTACAGCTCAGCGCTGGCGCGGAAGAAAACGTCTTTGTCTCTGTATTTTTCGTCCAAACGCGTTCGCGCTCCTGGACATATCGATGGCCAATTTCTCCCTGAAATCACCATTGATACTGCAAGTGACGTCACGTGCGTTTCACTTTCGTTTTTGAAACAGCACCCATCGTTATCGTTTGCTCATTTAGAGCCCATACCGTCCCCGTCCCTAACACTTAGTGCCGCAAATGGAGCACCCGTCAAAGTTTTAGGATTTATTTCGTTCGTAGTTCGGTTGGGAGACGTGTCCCGCCGAATCGATGCGTTGGTCGTACCATCGCTCGGTCCTGATCAAATACTCCTAGACAACGAGGCAATGACCCGGTTTGGGGCAGTACTTGACTGGAAAAATGAACGTTTGACTTTTGAGTGTAGTGACACCATTGTCCCCGCTATTCATCGTAAAAAATCTCAACACGGTGTTGATCCGTCGCCGTCCCCCCGTGTTGCAGCCGTTCACAGAAATGCGGAAGAACACTCAGTCAAATTACGTCACCGTTATAATATTCGCCCTCGTCATGCGATGATCGTAAAAGCATTCACTGAATGCATGCCGTCCGTTGAAACCGCCGTAGTAGTCGAGCCGCGTATTTTGTCGGCCGATGAACTTTCGTTAGATACTGTTCCGCCCGAATTTGAACGTTTAATCGTGGCTCGTACCGTCTCAACATGGAGTGCTGTTGATGGGTCCGTAGTGGTCCAAATTGCGAATCCATCATCTGAGTATCTCGCCGTACATGTTGGATTGGAGATTGGAACTTTATCGCCGGTTACTATGGTAGCACAGGAACAGCTTCACGTCCATGCTGTTGCTTCGTCTCCGAAAACCGCGAGCGAAATTGCTGCTGCTAAAGCAGAACTGGTAGAACCGCTGTCGAAAGCGTTCACAAATTCCACGTTCTCTAAGGAACAGCAAACTCGTGTTTTGGACCTGTGTGCCAAATATCGTCCCGTTTTTTCGCTGAATCGTAAAGAGCTTGGTAAATGCAAGACTGCTCAAGCCACGTTTCCTATGCCGCCTAACACGAAGCCGGTTAACCGTCGTCCCTACCGCGCTAACCCTCGCACTGAAGCCGTTATCCAAACGTGCGTCAAGGACATGCTTGACGATGATATCATCGAAGAGCTACCTAGTCAGTGGGGTTCCCCCGTTACTCTCGTCGCGCGTAAAGATGGTAAACCTCGTTTTTGCGTCGATTTCCGAAGCACCGTCAACAAGCACATCATTCGCAAGACCTGGCCTCTAGCGAACATGGAGTCCAACCTTGATTCTGTCGGCAGCGCCAAGTTCATCAGCGTTGCAGACGTCCAGTCAGCGTACTGGCAGATTCCTGTTCATCCTGACCACGTCGAAAGGACAGCCTTTGTCACCAACTCTGGCAAGTACTGTTACAAGCGGATGCCGTTTGGTGTTTGTAATGCCCCGTGGATTTTTACTGAGATGGCCCATAAAAC